TCCTCCAGCCCCATTCTGCAGCAACAGTGCACCGCAGGAGGGTATGGACAGTTGTGTGTGTACAGGTTTGGGGAGACAGAAAGAACAAGGGGCAAGGGAGTCGAGGACACTAGCAAAAGAATGGTTTCAGTGAGGAGCCTTGAAGTTGAAGCTGGAAAAGAAAAGATGGGAAGACTCAGAGCACTGATCCACAGGCAGAAAGTAGAGGTGGCGGATGAGCCGTCCAGAGAGAGGAGACTGGCATTTAGGGAGTGCATTTAAAAAGAGAACAGCAGAGAGCTGGAGGTGGACTCTCAGAGGACATCTATGTTTGGTTGGATGGGATTCATCCCTATCCAACTCCCCGCCAAAAAAAAAAATCCCAAACAAATTGGGGAACCATAAAATTGAAGTCACAGAAATATCACAGAAGTTAGCAAAATAATTTCCATTACATGATTCCCTTGTTCAAGAAGTGAATATATATATATATATATATATATATACTGTTTATTAGAGAATAATGAGGCATAAGTCTTGGTTATACAGTGGCCACTCAATAGATATCTGCTAAGGAATGAATGAATAAATGAACAGTGAATTCAAATTTCTCATTCAAACCTTGAAAATCTTCTAGCTCTATTTTCCTTAGGCAGCCTATAAATAATTGAATAATTACCCCGGGAAGCAATGGAATTGAAACTGGTATTGGAGTCAGACAGAATTTGGTTCAAATTTCAGAACTGCCAGATCCTAGACTGGTTATGGCAGTGTCCTGCAAAAGTTCTTCCCTACCTGCTCCCTCCCCTCCCCTTGTGGATTCAAGGATATTACTAATAGAGAACAAGGCTTTTCTCCAGATGGCAGTTTCACCTCCCAAGGTAATCTGATTTTTAAATTATTATATACAGAGTTACTAGGGATGCAAAGCTGAATTAAAACAGATTTTACTGTAGAGGAATTTTGAGTCTGATGGGGGGAGCCAGACAGACATAAATACAAGACAGGGCAAACATCCTAAAAGTGAAGTATAAACCAAGTTCTAGGAAAGATAGAGGAAATAATTATTTCTAAGGGGTGCATAGGGATAGGGACGTTTTATGAAGAAGTAGCATTTGAATTGAGTATGGAAGGATGAGTATAATAGAATTTCAGTGAAAGGTAAGGATCAGACTAGGCTGTAGGAACTGTGTACTGAAAGGTGAAGAAAGGGGTCTGGAAAGTTCGGTACCTGTTGAGGAGGACCACATCTTAGAGATCTATGACTTTAACAATTCATTGTTTTGTTCCTGACTTTAGAAGCTTATTTATAGTTGACTAGGTGAATAAAACAAGTATATCAAATACGTACAGAACTAGTGGGCTTCATAAAAAGGAGAGATTACATCCAGTTTTGAAGATTCTTCTCAATTTTTGAGTCTGATGCAAAGTACTTCCCTCGAATCCTGGCTCACAAGTGTTCAGAATCACCTCCTCAAAATATGATTGATAGAGGACAGCACTTAAGAGCGACGTCTTGCATTGCTTAGATGCAACTTCAAATTACTGCACTTAGCTTCTATGTGCCTCAGTTAACTTTTAAATAAAATGAGGATAATACTTTCCTCAAACAATTGTTAAGAACGACACCGGATGAAGAATGCATGACTAGCACAGTACTTAGTATCTACGTCCTAAATTATATATTTAATGAATAAGTAGATTTGTATGTGCAGTGTATGAGTTTTCAGCAGGCAGCACGCTCCCCCTGGCTGTAGGCCACAGACCACACCCTTATAATCAGCGGGCCAGTTCTGTGGCTTTTAGGGAAATAGCGGTCCAAATTGGGTCTAGCGCCAGCAAAAGCACGTGGTCTCTGCCTCTCCGCAACAACAAAAAAACACATTAACCCTGGCGCAGGCACCTCCAGTGGATGGCTTGTTTTTAAAATCCGTCCAAAAGGACCAATCAAGAGCGGTAGTCCGAGTGCGCGGAAGCGGATTGGTTCACAGCTGCTCACAGTGACCAATAGGCGTGGAGGTAAGTTAAGTCGAGACGGGAGGCGGGCGAATCGAACACGGGTGGCGACCGCGGGCAGTTTGAATCGGAATCTCGGCTCCAGCCCGCGGAGGTCGCACCGGAACCTGGCTCTCCGAAAGGTTGTTTTCCCTTCCCTGGTAGCGAGGGGAGCAAGGTGAGCGTCCTGCCAGATTCCCGGCTCTGGCGGCGGGCGGCGGGGAGGCGCTGGCTCTCTGCCCGCGGAAGCTGGGCGGGGGTGCCTCTGGGATCACGCTCGCGGCCCCTGTCGGTGCGGCGGACCGTCCCCTCCCACCCGACCCGACTGGGGACTCGGCCCCGGTTGAGGTTCGTAGGGGTGTCGGCGACCCTCTGCTCCGGGTAAAACTGGGCTCGCACTGGGGCTCGGAGACCCTGCTCGGTCACCAGCTTGCACTTTGGGGGATCAGTTTACTCCTCCGTAAGGTAAAAGAATTGGAGATGACCAGGTATCTCCAAGCAGCCTTCCAAGTCCGGGAATTAGTGGCTCCTATTTGAAATTCGGACCCTGGTCTTAACGTTTCATTGAGGAGATGCAAGCTAGGGTTTTGATCTGGGCGGCGGGGCGGCGTGCCTATTGTTAGTTTACAAGAGCATTTCTCTCCCCCTACCTTCTTTTTCCTCTCCCGTTTGTTTGGACGGGCCTGTGTGCCAGGCTTTGCTATGTTATGAGGACACAGAAATAAATGACATGGGTCCTGGTCTGGAGGAGAAGGCAGTGTTATCATTCTCAGACCCAGTCGTGGCAGAGTAGGAGGGGGCTCAGAGTTTTTTGGTGGAGTAGGGGAATTGTGACGAAGGGAAAGTATGAGGTGGAGGTGAGGGGGGTCACGCGAGAAGCTTCCATGGGAGACTTTATGGGATTGGGTGGTTCACGCATGAAGAGTGTCCTAATATATTTTAGATATAAAGATAGAGCATTTTCTAAAAAGGACAATAATTTTGCAAATCTTTCTTGCAGAAGTCTTCATAACCAGGGCTTTTCTTCACATCTCCCACCCCATTCCCTGTCCCTTATATCTTACTTTTGAGGTTTACTTGTTTTATTCTTTTACCCCATGGCCCCCAGTACAGATGGCTGGTAGCTGGTGCCTTAATGTTTCAACATCTTCTTAATCACAATTAGCTTGAGTCTGGTTAATTGCTTTAAATCGATCTTACACTTTGAAATGGAAAAGCTTTCAACTTGCTAGTCTCCCTTCTGTTTATTTCCTTCATTTCTATCATCTTTCTAAACTGCTCTTTTTAATATTTTATTGGCTATGGCATGTCTATGTAATGATGTCGGTGGCTGCCTGAATTGTTAGGAAAGTTATATTAATAGTTGTGTGTCTCTGGGTTACTGTACTCTGACTCCTGAACAAACAAGCTAGATTGGAATGGAGGGTGTGATCTATTGGGACAGGATAAATTGTCTTCTGTTGTTGAGAGGTGGGAGACTCCTTTCAGTAGTTTTGGGGCAAATGAGAGTGGAGTTTAAGATGCTGTGTTCCAAGAATGGAGATCTAGAAAGAAAAATTAAACTGGCAGTGAAAACACGGCTTTCCACTGTGTTCTGATTCTGATAGCTAACCTATATTTTGACCAAAACCTTTGCTTCTGCCCCTTAATTTTAAAAAATCTTTTAATATTATAGTCCCAGCTACTTGGGAGGCTGAGGCAGGAGGATCACTTGAGCCAGGGAGTTTGAGGCTGCAGTGAACTATGATAATGCCACTGCACTCTAGTCTGGGCGACAGAGCCAGACCTTGTCTCAAAAAACAAAACAAAAAACCACAAAAATCCTTGTTATTATTCTTAGAATTTTCATCAACTGTTTTATTAGTTATTTTGATAAAAATTTCATTGATAAAGTTGATTGAAACAAAACACTGAAATGGTTGTGAACTTCATTTAGTAAGAAACAAATTCTCACCTTCTTGCCAAAATAACTGGAACACAAGTGATTTTTCTTTCATTTACGTTATGAAGGCTAAAATAATGAACAATTGTCATACTTCTCTCTCAGCTGATTTATATTTCCTAAGACCAGGGCTGAGAAGAAGGTAGGTCACTTCACCGTTTATACCATAAACTGAAATATGCAAATAAACAAGTGTTTTCAGAAACTCATGTAACTAACATGTGTAGATAGCTTACCAGGAGATACTGTGCTAAGGCTTTAGGAAGTTGCCATCATTATTCTCATTTTACAAATGAGGAAACCAAGGCAGACAACAGTTAAATAACTTGTATAAGGTCATACATCTTATAAGTGGCTGAGCTGGGATTTGAATCTCTTTTGAATTACTAAGGCTGAACTGTGGACTTCTTTTCTGGTCAACATCTCTCTGGAGCATGACTTTTCCACCTTTTGGAATGATTCTAGTACTAATATGGCATTCACTCTTCATTCATTCATGTATTAATTCAACAAATGGTAACTGCTTGGTAGGAGATGGGCTACAAGTGCTGGGAGAAACTGTCAGGGAGCTATGGCCAGTCAGGGATCTCAGGAAAGGTTTTCCAGAGAAATTAGGACAAAGTATGGCTGGTAATTAATGATGGGAAGAGGGAAAGAGGAACATTTGCAAAATAACTTGTCATGCATTTTATTTCTTTATAGAACCTATTTCACTTGGAAACCTTATAGCAAAATATTTATGTTTTGTATAATGAAAACAAACCGTGAGCAGTAGAAAGCAAGTAGCTATATAAGAAGTCAAAACTGAGAAATAAGAAAAACAGAAGTCAAGGGGAGACCAAACGCCATATTATGTACTTCATAATCAATTATTTGGTAGTCACTTTTCAGAGGATGGAGAATATAGATATTATACTTGGTTATCTTTTGAAATGTGATGTTTTGAAACTTGGTTCTTAGAGGTGGTTGGGTAGACTCACCAGTCTCTGAGACATTGCTTCCTTTTAGTGTAGTAAGACCAACAGTCTGGTTATTCTTTTCAGTTTATTTATAAATGCTGGCATAATTAAGAAGGGAGAACAAAATGAGCTGGGCTTTGGAAGAATGGAAAGAAGGCCTGCCTACAAGAGCTCTTCAGAAAATTCAAGAGCTGGAAGGACAGCTGGACAAACTGAAGAAGGAAAAGCAGCAAAGGCAGTTTCAGCTTGATACTCTCGAGGCTGCATTGCAGAAGCAAAAGCAGAAGGTACCTCTGAAGCTCTGGTCTTTGCAACTGTTCACTCCTTATTATCACGGAAGTGTTGGTATTGAAAACAGTTCACTCATTTTTCAATTAATCCTATCATCTTTAAATTTAGAGAAAAATGATTTTGTTCTCTTCAAGTGGTAATCCACTCCCCCCACTTTTGAGTCATTTTTATTTTAATTGCCTCTAATTTTCTCCCTCCTCTGCCCTCGTTTCTACTTACCGGCAAATATTTAGGGCTACTGAGCTCCATTTTAACTTCTATTTGGGACGATGAACTGGGAATTGCTTTTGCATTGCACAGCAACAAGGCCAAAAGTCTCTGGTTCCAAATCTGGGGACAGTATTAGAGCATTTTGTAGTTAAATGGACGTTGCTTTCCAAGAGTGGACTTTTTTTTACCTTTGTAGTCTTGAACCTCTTCTGTTTAGGACTAGCAAATGAAAACTTAAACAGTACTTCTTCATTACCTCTGTATCAGCCAACCACATAGTGATACAATCACTACTTCTAAAATGTTTTTGCTTGTGGGAGAATTTTCCAGTTTCTGACAGTAACTAGCTTTAGCAGCCAAACTTGAAAATGAATTGCTAAGGGAGATTTATAGGGTTTATTTTTGATTTTTTAATTCTTGAAAGGATATTAAAGCCTCCCTTTCTAGGATGAGTATTTGTAGCCCTGACCCAAGATGATGTCATGCATAACTTTGTGGAGCTATTCTTTCTATAGGCTTCAAAATATTGTCATCTAACATTTCTGTGTCCATAAAGCACTGATTTCTAGCTTATTACAGCCATATCTCAGAAAATTAGTATTGGACTCAGATCTACAAATAATACTTGGTAAATTTCTGAAACAATGGATCTGTTTTCTCAACAATTCCCATTAGGTTGAAAATGAAAAAACTGAGGGCACAAACCTGAAAAGGGAGAATCAAAGATTGATAGAAATATGTGAAAATCTGGAGAA